TGTAAAAACTGTCTATATGTTCATTTCCAACTTATTGGAGAAAAAAGTCATCAACAGGGTAAAATGTACTTTTCAGAAGTCTCCCAAGGTGACATTCAAAGCAACAGTCCAGCTTCAACTACAATTCCATTCAGTCCAGTCAGTTCAGCAGCTATTTATTGCATGCCTGTGTGGGCGATGCCTTGGGGGATTCAGAAGTGAATGGACCATGACCTTCAGAACATGATCTATGTTTCCATGGTCTAAGAAAGTATATGAGAGAGATGTGGAAATGGGACGGAGGAAAACAATCTGCTTCCACTATCAAGCAGATTCAAACAAACAAGTGCCTTTAAAAAGGCATAGAACTTCCTGGAGGGTTCTGAGATATCGCATCCTTTTGTGAACTGTGTTACTTGAGATAAGCCTGTAAGAAAAAGCAGAAGATGGACAAATGGAGACACATGAGGGAAGAAGGTGACGGAGGAATGGAAAAGAGGTAGTAACACATGGCACCTACTCAGGGAAGATCAAGGAGCCTCAACTGAAGAGAGTGTTCACAAACAGGGAGAGGAGAGAGAGCTGAAACTGTGTTCCGGGCCACATGATAATGATCTTGGAGGCCACGGTGAAGATATAGTAGGAAACCGCTCAAGACTTCAGACCCCAGGATCACAGCTGTTGATCAATTCATTAATCTTCATAAAGAGTCTGCTTCTACAATAGGAAATATCTTTTAGGAAGCAAAAAAAAAAAAAAAAAAGAAAAGAAAAGAAAAGAGAGAGAGGGACAAAACTAATTGAAAACAATCCATGTTGTCTACTTCTCTGTAGGCAGAGAAGAAATCTATTTAGAGAAAATTAGTATCTTCTGTCACTAAGTTTTACTCAAGTACATTCTACTTGATAAAACTTAACAAATGCATAAACTGTTCTACTTACAATAATTTCAAATCTCTGTGCAGATATCCATGAACTAAAAATCTTATCCAGCCTTAGGCTTCAACTTATATCTCTTCTCTAAAAGAAAAAGACTCTCATGTTTTGTTTTTAAAAAAAATTTTATGTAATCATGAGTCACTGATTTATTAAAAATCAACCTGGAGCTCTTGAGTGGCTCAGTTGGTTAAGTGTCAACTCTTGATTTTGGCTCAGGTCATGATCTCACAGTTTGTGAGCTTGAGCTCTGCCTTAATAGCAAGGAGTCTGCTTGGGGTTCTTTCTCTCCTGTTCCCTCTACCACCTCCCTCGAAAAGAAAAGAAGAGAAGAGAAAAGAAAAGGAGAAGAGAAAAGAAAAATAAAATAAAAATCAACCTACCATTTGTTCATTAATCTGACCCACATGTACTTTATAAAGAATATTCACTTGATTAACCTGTTATAATTTTCTCCTCTAGTATATATGCAAACAAAAAATGTATACTAATCTCAGTATGTCTCAACAGAGATACTCTCACAATAAACTCCACAAGTTAGTAATACTTCATACTAAGTCTTTTATTCCAATGAAAGCAGAAAATAAAACTATCCCACTAGAGAAACAACTAAAACAAATGTAAAGGATCTGCTAAAAATAAACTATTTTCCTCTAGTACAGAGCAATATTAGAAAGTTTAAGTAGTGAAAATTCCCTGGAGTCCTAAACTATTTTTGCTCTCTATATAGTGGTACTGAACTTCCTTGTTTCATTAAGTCACATTTAAGAGTAATAACCAGGTCAAAACAACTATATAGTTTTAGGCCTTTTTTCCCCATTTAAATTTTAGAATTCCTCAAGACATTCACACATCTTTATCCTCTGACACAGTTACTAAACTGTTTTTCAAATTAATTTGGGATATAGGAACGAATGTATAACAGTACAAAGAAGATTTCAGGTTTCTAGAATTTAAAATTATTCTGTTTGTTTTTCTCTAAATATTGGTGTTGATAAAAACAATTTAGTATGGCATATACTTTTCACGTATGTGTAGATTACACTCATTACTAAAGATAAATTCATTATGTAATGAAGTTTTCATCATAAGAGACATTTGAAAGCTATGTTGTTGAGAATTCCACAATAAATTGTTAAAAACCTCCAAAGAAGATATTTTAATTTTTCTACTATACAAACACACCACAAGAATGTATTCAAAGTATAGATCTTTATGGGATGCCTGTGTGGCTCAGTTGGTTGTATATGACTTCAGCTCAGGTCAGGATCTGACACTTCATGGGTTTGAGTCCCTCATCAGGCTCTGTGCTGAGAGTTCAGAGCCTGGAGCTTGATTCAGATTCTGTGTCTCCCTCCCTCTATACCCCTCCCCCACTCACTGTCTGTCTGTCTCTGTCTCTCAAAAGTAAATAAATAATAAAAAAAAATTAAGTGTAGATCTTTACATGTAGGAGGTACTATATAAATGTTGAATGAAAAGTTAATTTCAATGAACATAGGAAATAAACACTCAGTATTATAAATCACCACTCATTTATATGTGGTAAGCTGAAATACCAAAAAAGTACTGCGCATAGTAAAAACAAAGTATTGAAGATCATTAATCTGAGAGATTTGGGAAAGAATGGGAATAGGAGAAATTGACAGTTCCTCTGCCCTCTGGTGGCAACAAAATCAACTGCAGCATTTTCTAAAGTAATACATAACTAAACGTCCCTGTTATGAAATCAGATTTTTTTCTCCTGTGCCAAAATGTCTGTGATAAAAATCCTGATTGCTACATGGCAAATTTCAAGACTGTTGGGCTCTTTAAATTTTTTCCCATAGTAAAATTTTAGCCATTTACAAAGGAAATTATTTTTCTTCTATTTCATTGCTATATTGTATTTACAGCCATGAAAATATAACCTTTTAACTTCAAGATTATGTCTTGAAGTTATATGTAGACTGGTATCCAGTAAAGAAGCTACTCCAGTTTGCAATATATCTCCAAAACACTTATCTCCAAGAAATTTAAAGCTATTCATTTTTCACTCAATTCTATAAAAATATGGGTTTCTAGATTTTCCATCACAGATCCTAGTTGATAATTAGTTTATAATACCTGTACATTTATGGTGAGCAATTTCGGTATTTTATAATCCCCACAGCTTTTAATTATCTGGCCAATCTTAGAGTGAATGTTCACTTCATCCTCAACTTGGGAATTTAGAATAGGAAAATGCGTACATATTCTTTTCTCAGTAACATATCATTAATGAAAGTTCAGAAAAAATAAATATCTGCTGACCTTTGTTGGATTTTTTCCCCGTAAATGCATTATTTACACCCAGTGCCAAAGAAGTTTTCAAATAAACAACTTTGGAATGCATTTTGGCATAACCATCTCTCTAACCTCCTTTGGATGAAGTAAATTGTTTTCTTTAAGTATTTACTTATTCCAAGAATGGGGCCATACCATATCAGTATCACAGGGTAGAAGTCTTAGGGTTTTGGTTTTTTTTTAATCAATGAAATGTAGCAGACAAACAGAAACGATAATCTACTGGCATACCTAGTAAGGAACAACCTATGTCCATTTAGGCAGAAGAAAACTATATGTGACAAAGACAAATCGCCATCAAGGAAATTGGGGTTTTAAAATGTTTCAGTTTTAAAAGCATCGTTACCATGTTGCCCCCTCCTCCCAACCCACACACCCTTCCAATCATCAACTGGAGCGCAGAGTCAGAATCTGTGCGTTCTCTGTAAGAATCTACACCAGGAGCCGAGACAGTGTTTTTAGCTGATTTCTAGGTCTCAGATTGCTGATTTTCATTCAAGGGCTTTCTCCAAGACTCACCTCACCTGGAATCCCCAGGTGACCTAGGTAAGCTTCCATCTGCGACTTTCATGTTTGACATTTGCAGCCACATGTATACTTTCTGAGGAATCACTCACCACCACCACCAAGACCCTAGACTTCAGAATTAAAACAAAACAAAATCTTGATTACCCTAAGCTGAAGTTTTGTGTTTTCTTTCCTTTTTTTTTTTTTTAAGTGTTTTTTGTTCATTTCACCTCCTCTCCAAGTCTAACCTGAGTCCACAAATTTCTGCCAAGGTCTCCCTGCCTGTTTCTTCACTTTCTTCCCGAGGGGCAGAAAGGGTGAGCAGGCACCCAGTTCCGGAGAGCAGGGTCGCGGGAGGCCCCTGAATCCCCGGCTCGGCTCCCAGCCTGACAGCCCGCGGGTCGCGGGCGGGGTGTTGCTACGCCGGCTCCGCGCTGCCCCGGGGGCGCGGCTCCCGGCTGGACGCTCACCTGGCCGGCACACGCCCGGAGCCGCCGCGGGGAAGATGGGGAGGCCGGATCCCCGCGCGGGGGCAATGTCAGGGCACGTGGACAAACCCTTGACACGTTCAGGCCTGTGTGCGGAGCCGGACGGTGGAGGACAATGGGGACAGGGATTGGTCCCCAGAGTCGCGCCCTCCCCACCTCGGTCACCTCCTCCCCTCCTCGACGCCACGCACACCCCGCCCCACTTCCAGAGCCCGTTCAGCCCCAGACAGCGAAAGGGAACTCAGGTGCGGAACGCTTGGGGAAGGAAGGGGCGGCTACAGGAAATTTCCTCCAGCTAGGGGAAACCCTGCAACCCCCGGCTGCCGCTACGTCCCCCACCCACGGCCCCCATCACGCCCCCCCACCCCCATCACGCCCTCGCTTAGTTTGTCGCGGCAGCGGAGAAGCGGGAGGAGCCAGAGAGGAGGCTTCCCAGGGATGCCAGTTCTGGGAAGGTATCTACACAAGGTTTGGTCTTACACGCCAGAGCCCTCTCTGGGCGACTTGGGGAGAATGTATCACCCCCTGTCGCTCAGGTGAAGGAAGCCCGAAATCCTCAAGGAAATCTCCAGTCCCCTTCTCTAACCAACCCTCTTCTCCCCATTCGGAAAGGCCAAGTTTACCCAAAAGCAATTGCAGTAACTTTCCCAAGGGCAGACAAATGAGGTGGGGGGATGGGTGGAGGGGTGGGTTGAGAATGGGGAGGTGGGGGTGCCAGCGAAATCTTCAGTTGCGCAAAAAACCAACAAGCTAAAGTGCATCTTACCATTGATTTGGTTTCCAGGCTCCCCTTCAGTGAACTGAAAACGGTCCATTAAAAAGTGGCAAAGTAACACAACTCCTGCAGCGGCCAGGTCTGCCCTCGGGAACCTCGCCATGCCGCCGCCGAGACCCCCCGCCCCCTCCCCGACAGTCCTTCCCCGGCGCCGGGTGCTTGGAGGCTCCGGGTGGCAGTCGGGACGCTGGGGACGCCGGGGCCAAGCGCGGCGGACGGGTCTGGCTGAACCCGGAGGCCTTTGTGAATTTCGGTGGGAATTTCACACTCGGGAGCTGGGAAGAGGAAGGGAGAGCCGGGGGAGTGCAGTCCTCTCCGGACCTCCGAGTCTCTCTTCGCAACTTGCCACAACACTGGAAGCCCTCGCCCCAGACACAGGACGCCGGCGGCGGGGAGGAAGGGCCACTTGCAGCCGGGGCTCGTGAACTCTCGGCTCCGTACGGGCAGCGCCCCCCGGGCGCCCGCAGACTGGGGCTTCCGAGCCCCCGCGATGCGCTCCGCTGGGTTCAAAACAGACCTAATTCCACAGCCAGCGCGGCTGCCTCCTCCAAATCCAAGAGGGCTGTCGGCTCGCAAGGAACTTTCCCCAGTGTTGGGATGGCCCTTGGCGGGAGGTTTGGGTTTGCGGGAAGGGGGTTAATGTGGGCTGGCGAAACCCCTCCGACAAGTTTTTCTTCTTTTCTTCGCCCGACGCAGGGCGCGCGTCCTTTCTCGCAGCCGGAGGGATGGGCAGCTCTAAAGAGCTGAGCCCAGTGAAGACTCAGGCTGCAGCAGTCTAAGGTCCGGAGCCAGGGGAAAAAAAAAAAAAGAGAGAGAGAGAGAGAGAGAGAGACAGAGAGACAGAGAGAGACAGAGACAGAGAAAGGAGAAGAAGAAAAAAAAAAGAAAAAGAAAAAGAAGGGGGGGAGGAAGAAGAAAGAAACGGGGGGCGGGGGAGTCAGGCCAAAACCTATCGGGAAAGGGTTCCTCCCGGCAAAGGAGGAGGCGGCCACAAGCCCCGCCGAGCCCCGGGAGTTTGGTGGCGGAGGAGGCGCCGCCGCCGCCGCCGAGCTCCCCCGCGCTCCTGCTCCACACTTTGGGGAGGGAAGGCAGCTTGCAATTTGCCAGATCTGCCGCTGCACCCTCCTCCCTCCTCCCTCCCCCCTCCCCCTCGCTCCTTCAGGCTTCTCCCACCTTCCTCCCCGAAACCAGCAGCTCGCACCGACCTGTCCAATGGCTGCACTTTCCTCGGGGCGCGCAGTGAAGTCGCCGGGAGATTAAGCAGGAGGAGGAAAGCCAGGGGGAGAGAGAGGGCAACTCCAGCCCTGCGCGCCCCCAGCCGCCGAGTGCCTGGAGAGCCGGGAGGGAAGGCAAGAAAGGAGAGCGAGGCGCCGCGCGCCGCGGCGCCATCCTGCCCCCGCGCTTGCTCTCTGCAGCCGCACGAGCTGCGCCTTCGCCCACCTGGCCCCCAGGCCCCGTTCCCGCCCGGCTGCTGGGGGGTCGTAACCCCGCACGGTACCCTGCCGACGTCAGCCGCTGGCGGGGTCTCCCTGGGCGCTAAAGGGTTAAGTACAGCTCGCCATTCCCGGGAGGACGTACGTAGCAGTTGGGGTGTGAAGAAAGCAAACCCCACTGAGTTCCGCTACTGACCCCGAAAAACCCCAGCAGACCCCAGACCCGCGAGACTGGAGGAGGAAGGCAGCGCGCGACAGCGAGGTCCCGCTGCCACTGCGGCTTTGTGAAGTGTCCGCCGGAGGGAAAGCGAGAGTTTAAAGAAACAGGAGGCCCATTGAATTTCCTCCGGGGGCTTTAACAGGCATTCGCTTGCTAGTTTGTTTTTGTTTTTTCAGCTCCAGGATGTGCTTCAGCGTTAACCCTTCCCAGACCTCTCGCTAGTTTACATCTTCTTTCGCTTAACCTCATTTTAAAGGGACAAATACAAAGAAAAGTAGAAAAGCATATTGGTTAAAAATACAGATTTCCTGAGCCAGACTGCCTGGATTGGAATTCCATCTCCTCCCACTAAATAGCCAAGACTTTGCGCAATTACGCTTATAGTGCCTCAGTTCCTCATCCCATCAAATGGGGAGAATTGTGGTAATGCTACTGAGTTATTACTATAAACTTAAAGAAACTGTGCAAAGTACATGACTTTATGTTTCTGAAGAGAGATCAGAGAGGGAGGAAGGAAAGTCCTAAATCAATGGAGAGCTTGCATCAGTGTTGTCACATTCAAAAGTCTCTGAGTCTATTCTTGCCCACTCTGTTCCATGCTCTGAAAAGTTTATGAATGCTATCAATGAGCACCTGTGAAAATGAACAAAAGCAACCTAATTCAAAATGGAGTCAGAGGCGATGAAGGCAGGGTTCTCACTCAACACCTATCACTTTTTTTTAAATTTTTTTTAATGTTTTATTTATTTCTAGGAGAGAGAGAGACAGTGTGAGCAGGGGAGGGTCAGAGAGAGAGGGAGTCACAGACTGAAACAGGCTCCAGGCTCTGAGCTGGCAGTCAGCACAGAGCCCGACGCGGGGCCCGAACCCACGAACCGCGAGATCATGACCTAAGCGAAAGTCGGACGCTTAACCGACTAAGCCACCCAGGCGCCCCAACACCTATCACTTTTGCAGCCTACTTCACATACCCCAGCAGGAAGAAGCTTACTTTACTCACCCTAGGAAGATGAATGAAGATTTTCTCCTTGCCCAGCAAGAGTCTAGAAGAAAAATCACCACCATTCAACCATTGAGAAGCCTCAAGCTAAACTCTCGCTTTCCTCCAATAACCTTTCCTTCAAGTCAGCCAAATCCCTCCTGTCCTCTCCAAAGGGAAGCCCCTCTCCTTTGTTATTCAGACTTGCCTGTGGTTTGTCATAGCTAGCATGTCCCAAACCTCATTTCCTCTACTATTCCCAAATAAACTTTTCTTTGCTCCTTAAATAACTGGCAATTTCATTTCTAAGATTTACGCACCTGAATTTTGTCACAAAGCCCACTGGAAGTGGAGCTGGATAATTAAAGTACTCTGCTAATTTGATAAAGAAAGAATGGCTCTCTCATGGTTACTTAGCCTGTGAGAAGGAAAACAGGAGTGTAACATCTTTTACATAATTCAATATTCAAGTTGCTATTTATATCAGAAATATATGTGTACACACACACACACACACATTGTGTGTAAACACTTATTATGCCATGACTTTTCCTCTCTCCTGAACTTTCTCACAACTTGTTGAGTTCCTCCTCACCATACTTAAGGAATCAGGTTCTTTCATTTCTGCCTGAGAGTTTTTAAGTTCTATGTAATATTACAACAAAATTTGAGTACCTGACATACTTACCTGTTTAACATTAAGCTGGAAAACAATTTTCTAATCAAAATTTGGTTCTTAATTGATGTTGAGCTTTTTATCTACATCCCTAGTGATGTCATTACTTCATAAATCCATGTGGAAAGCTTCCTAAAATGTTCTGCACAACTCCAATTCCCATTATATGCAAAATTGTAAGAAACCCAGTAGGAGGAGTCATCTCTAAAGAGCATTACTATGTTTTAGTCTGGGATATTTCCCTCTACTTCCACAGTAGATAAAAAAATGGGGGGGGGGTATCTTCTCTCCTTTTTTTTTGAGAACGAAGGTCCTATATCTCCCTAGTATCATTTTAGGAGTGTTTATTTTCTTTTTCTTTCTTTTTTTAATGTTTATTTAATTTTGGGAGACAGAACATGAGCGAGGGAGAGACAGAGTGAGAAGGAGGCACAGAATCCCAAGCAGGTTCTAGGCTCTGAGGTATCAGCACAGAGCCCAATGTGGGGCTTGAATCTGTGAGATCATGACCTGAGTGATACTTAACCTACTGAACCACCCAGGTGCCCCAGGAGTGTTCTCTTCTTCTTTGTTGTCAGCAATGCTTTGCTCCTCTGATTAAACCTAAATGCCTTAAATGGAAGTCTGATGCCAAAAACTGAAAGGAAGCCAAGTGGTAATTCACAGTGAGTCTGTTTTTTTTTTTTTTAAGTGGGTTGCTATCATTGGTGCTGTTTAATTATTTCATTTTACTCATATGATCTTATTCTAAAGAGCCACCCATACAGAAAATACTTAATTAGGAATGGAAGAAGTTTTAGGTAAGCAAAAATCAACAATGCATGATATTTTAATGCCCAGAAGAAAAACATCATTGTAATAAACAGGATTTGATGTTCTGCCTTAGATATCAACTGATAATCACACACACACATCACCTTTACATTATAACAAGCAAAAATAAATAAAATGTAGGACACTATGTTCAGAGTGAAATGGAAAATGCTGATTACTCATATAATCCTGGCTAATTAAAAGCAGTGTATTTTGTGGCCTAAATGATTTCAGTTTGCATAATACGTTTCACCACAGTATTATTGTCTATTTCAATTCATGGAGACAAGTTAAAGTGTCTTTGTGGGAAAAAGTTTCATTTTCCACCTGACTTGAAAGAAGAGTTATCATGAGTGAGGCTCATTTCTATTTACTATAGATACAAGAACTGAATTGCTGGGTTTTTACTCACTAGCTTAATTTTAGCTAACCTCTCAAGGAACAAATGAATCAGGAATCTTAAAGGAGTAATACTTGAGTTCTTTGTCCATGACAAAGATCTGGAATTCATAGAACACTCTTCTTTAAAATCTTAAGATCATATATCAGAATCATTGTCAGCAACAAAGAACTTTAAGCAGACCCAAGCTAATGCCTATATAGATTTCAAATCTGTTTGCAACCCTTTATTTACACCAACCTTCAAGAAGATTTTTACACATTCCAAGTGCCATACTCTCTCTATAAAGGCAATTACAATTACCCATCTCATCCCACCTCCACTGTAATGTTGCTATGTTTCCAAGGACCTGTCCTAAATTGAAACCTGAATAATAGGATACCCAAAAAATACCATGTTTCCTTGGAAAAAAACAAGATGCAGTTCAGGGTGTTAAGTACTTCACATTTATTATAATCTATTTTTATTATTATTTCAGGAAATAGTTTTTGTATGTTTTAATAAGATTTGTTAACATTTCCTACAATTCAGTCAGATAAAGGGAAACTGCTATTAGTGGACTGCTTTTGCTCAGTCCTGAGCTAAAATTATAACCTTTTCCTCTAGGTCTATGGCACTTCCTCTCCCTCTTCATTTGATAGGGCTAATTTTTTTTCTTTTCTGATCTCTGATACAAAACTACAAGTCATTTGTTCATCTTGGCTGACTTCTCTCAGAATCAAGCAGAATTACATTATACTGTTGATGGATATTTCACCTTTTTTCTCTTTTGTAGTTTTAAGTAAAATTTTTATGAATACAGTGTTTTTGAATCAAATAAGCATTAAAAAATCACCTCACAGCTAACATCACTTTTTTTTACAGAAACATTTAATATAAGAGAATATTTAATGCCTTTTCTCCTCATATCAATACTACACTTACTATTTAGATGAGATTAACAACATAATTATATTTTGCTCATTCATAATGAAACAACATATGGCATTAAAATTTCATTCATGTTTATACTGTCTTCCTTCTAAATTTAATAAGCTAAAGTGTTCTTAATCAGTAAATAGCAAAATGCAAAAATGTGCAATTTGAAGTAGGAAAGAAATTATTAAAATGGGATTATTAAAAATAAGTATTAAAAAGTAGGAGCATTATCTTACATTTCTTTTTAAGCAGCAATAATGTGTGGTAGAAACACAGACCTTATTCATTCCTCAACTGTATTCAAGGGTAAGTTAAAATCCTGCATTTTCCAAAAAATGAA